GTACATTTTTATTATTATGTTTATTATCGAAATCATCAAATTTGTTACTAGCAGATCTTTTTACACCCTTACTCGTACTTGTCAATTTATCACCTTCTTGTTGTGATTTTATTGAATTATTATTATGGTACGTATTATTCATACCTTTATTATTTCCTTTAGTACTATTTACATTTTGATTTTCATCTTTTATATTTGCATTTTTTATATCCTTTTCATTAATATAATCATTATTATTATTTACATTATTAGTTTGTGCTTTTTTTTTGTTTGTATCTTTTGTATCCTTTTGATCATGCTGTGCATAAGTTGCTTTTGAATCCAATTCTTCTTTTGAATAGAAAGGATCAAAGGTTTTTTTTGATTTTCTTTTCCCTGCATCATATATACTATTTGACAATGAACAACTTAAATTCTTAATTTCATTTAAATGTCTTTTTGATATAGCTGTGTATGTATTTCTTTTTTCATTTTTAGGTTTAAAACATGGGAGTTCAATAAATCGAAATCCTAAAAAATGAATTTTATTCGATATATATATAAATTCTTCTTGTGTTAAATTTAATATACCTCTTTCAAAACTTCTTATATCATTAACATTTTTTATAAATAAATCATCCATATTTTTTATCATTTCTTCCTTTTTTATATAATTTATATTATTATTATTATTATTATTATTATCATTTATATGATATTCTAATATATTACTTGTTGAATTATTTTTTGATATATTATTATCACTCAAATATTCATCTGTTATATTCATGCTATTACATTGATTCGTGTTTTTTAAATTATCATCATTATTATCATTACTACTAATATTATTATTATTATTATTATTATTATTTGTATATTCACTGTTATTCATATTATCATCATAATTCATATAATTTGTATCATTACCATTATCATCAATGGTATTTTCATTAGAAAAAGAACTGAAATAGTTCATATTTTTATTATCACTTATTATATTATTATTATAATTTTGTTGGAACTGATTATTTATACTTGTTCCATTATTATCAATATCTGTTAAATTATTTATTGCACTCATATTATTATTCTTATACGATATTATTGAATCATTATTCTTAATGATATGATTCGTTGTCTTATTATTATAATCAATATTATCTATATTATTTATTATGCAATTATTATTATTATTTTCTATAGTGATATATTCAATACCACTACTAGTATCAATTAATAATTGATTATTTATATGATTATAATCATTCATATTTATTATTATATCTCTAGTACTATTCAATCTATCCGCTGCATTTACATCTGTATTATTCAATCATATATAATTTAATTTATTATCATTTATGATACTACTCTTTCATATATTTTCATCATCATTCTATAGATGATTTTGTACATTAACTTGATTATTATATACTATATTACAATTATTTTCATGTATATAATTATTTACATTATTTAAAGAATTTTTTTTTATTATTATTATCATCACAAATATTTATCTCATTATTCATAAATATATATATATATATATATATATAATATATATATATATTATATATGTACTTTTATTAATATTATTATTATGTATTTATATTACATATGCATTTTATAATAATAATATATATATATTTATTTATCATATCTCACTTTTTATACTTTCTTCCTTATTTTATATAATTACTAAAATTTGTTTATAACAAAATGTCTTTTTTTTTTTTTTTTTTTTCTTTAAAAAAAAATTTTATTTATGAATATTACATATATATATATATATATCATGTATTCATTAAAATTTTAATTTTAATTTTATTTTTTTTTTTATACTTCATTTTATAATTTTTTTTTTTTTTTCTTTTTTCTTCTTTTGTGTTGTACTCACTCTATGTACTTTTATGAATAGAATAAATAAAAAAAATTTAAGATTCTGTATTTTTTTATTATTTCAAATAATGAAAAATAAAAAAATATCTGCATAAATATTTTCTATTTTGGGATAATTAAAAGAAAATATAATTCTGGTATTGTATTTTTAATTATAATATATATACATATTATATTATACATATATGTATATATATTATATTATTTATACGTATTAAAAATATACAAATTTATATATTATATATAAAAATTAATAAATAAATAATAAAATAAATATTTATAATATATAAGTCATATAAATTTATAATTCTTAATTTAATTTTTCTATTTCTTAATAAAAAAAAAAAAAAAAAAAAAAAAAAAAAAGAATGTTCCTTTATATTCTTATTATATATTTCCCTTTGTTTCTTCTTTTTTTTTATTTCTTATAATATTATATTTCTAAATAGTATAATACTTTAAAAAAAAAAAAAAAAAAAAAAAAGGAAATAAATAAATAAATATATATATATATATATAATAATATATTTATATTAATGGAACATATGTGATTTTTCTTTTAAACGTTATATTAAGTAATAATATTCTTCTTTATTATATCTAATTCTTTCATATATTGTAAGTATTCCCATAAAATATATTTGCCTTTCTTTTTAAAAAATAAAAAAAAAAATATAATATATATATAATTATAAAAAAATATATAAATATACAAAAATATAAATAATATATAAATATTTGCTTTTTATTTTATATATTCATTTTTATTTTCAAAATGAATATAAAATTAAAAAATATATATATAAATAATTTTTAAAAAATATATTATATATATATATATAAATATATTTTTTTTTTTTTCCTTATTTTTTATTATATAATTATATATATAATATATATATATATATATATATATATATATTCTTTTTTTAATTATTTCTCATCAATTTTGTATATTTATTTTTTTAAAAAAAATATTTCATTTTTTATTTTTTCTTTTTTAAAATAAAAATTAAAAAAAAAAAATAAAAATACCTAACATGCAAAAAAAAAAAAAAAAAAAAAAAAAAAAAAAAAAAAAAAATAGTAAATTATTATTTTAATACTTATATTGTTTATTCATTATATATATGTATAAATAGAGCTCTTTTTTTTTTTTTTTTTTTTTTTTTTTTAATGAAATCCTATTTTGATATGTATTATATTATATATATATATATATATGTAATAAAAATATATTTTATTAAATAAAAAAAAAAAACAAATTATATATAGTATCCCTTTTTAATTTTAATTTTTTTTTTTATTTTTTTTTATTATTTTTTATATAATAACATCAAAAAGTATAAAAATATATTCTTTATATAAAAAATTATAAATTTATTTTTTATGTATCACAATTATATTTCATCATTCCAAATAATTTAATAAGAAAAAGTAAAATTTTTTTATTTTTTTTGGTAACATAACATAAATAAAATATATGCTATTTATAAAAGATATTAATCCAATTATTTATATATAATATTATATATTATATATATATATATATATATATATATATATTATATATATAAATATAATATTTTTTTTTTTTCTCGAGAACAAATTTTTAACGTATTATTATAAATTTACAAATAATAAATATTACAATAATATTCATTAAAATACTTATATTCAAATTTAATATTTGAAAATATTTAATATTATATATATATATATATATATTTTTTTTTTTTTTTTTTTATTATATATAATCTAAATATCCAAAAAAAAAAAAAAAAAAAAAAAAATTGTATAATTTCGTATTAACCTACATATGGTAAATTTTTCCTAGTTTTTATATTATAAAAATTTACTTTAATAAGGTTTATTATAAGAAATATATATAGTATATATTTTCTTATACTATATATGATATTACATATATATATATAATATATATATATATATAATATGTATTATATTTTTTTTTAAATAATTGGAGCATATAACTTTAGGAAAATTTTCTCCAAAAATTTAAACCTTTAAAAAAATAATAATGGAATGAAAAATGACCTTATATAAAATAAATTTTATAGAAACCATATATTCTTATTTTTTTTATATTTTTTTTTATTTTTTTCTTATATAAATAATATATAATGGGCATATATCATAACGTATACGTTTTTTTATGTGTTTAAAAAAAATATATATTTGTACATTTATTTGTTTTTTTTAATATAACCATATAAATAAAAATAAAAAAAGAAGTGTTTCATTTGATTTTTTTTTCTTTCTAAATTATATATATATATATATATATATATATATAATACGATCCAATAAATATATAACTTTATATTTCTTTTAATAGTTATTTCTTTTTTTTTTTATTATATATTGGTAAAATTATTTTTTATATAATTGTTCCATTTTAAAATGCAACATTATTTTATAAAAATTCAAATAATATAATATAATATATATATATTATATATATATATATAATAATTTTTAAAAAAATGTAAAATATATATATATATATATATATATATTATATATATATATTATTCTTTTTTTCTTTTTGTTATTATTTATTACTTTTTAATAAACATATATAAGTTGATACATAATAAAATTATGTAGATTGTATTAAATATGCTTGTTAAATGTGTTACACATATATATATATTTATTATAATGTATATATGAGAAATAACAAAATTATTTTTCATTATTATTTCCTTTGTCAAATAAAAAATTTTGTTAACAAATTTATATTATAAATATAACAAATAAAAAAAAGGTTTCTGGATTTATATGAGCACTATAAATATATATAACTCATTGTATCCTTTAGCGTTGAATATTATGTCCCTTCTTTTTTTTTTGTTTTTTATTAAACTATTTCTTAAATATAAAGTATTTTACTTGGTTATAAGTCGTAGTATTTATATATAATTTTTTTCTCGGTTTTATAATAAAATATTTTTTATAAAAAAAGGAATATGGAAAAGAATATATAAAAGAAATATATATATATATATATATATATATATATATATATATATGTATTTATTTATTTATGTAAACATTTTTATATATGCCCCTTGTGGTTCTTATATTTATATAAAATATACTTTATTCCTTTACCAACGATAATAGTAACATACATAAAAACATAAATGTATCTCCATTTATTTAATAAAATTAAAAAGAGAAATATTAAATGTAAAATTTATTGCTATATAAATTATATAGCAATAATAAATATTTAAAACTTCAATGGTAATACATATATATATATATATATATATATATATATATATACAAAATAAAATTTACAATACTTGTGATCATTTCTATATTTTCTTTATTTTACATATAACCATTTTTAATTAAATAAAAACATTCATTTACTTTCAAATCTTCTTATAAATATAAATATATTAAAAAATATCCTTTTCTTACAGAAAAATAAATTAAAACATAGTAACTAATCATTTATAAATATGTTCTGATGAATATTATTACTATAAATATTTTCTTTTTGGTGATATTATTAATAAAAATATTTTTTTTTAAAGCCATGGGGTAAAGGTTCGAATATAATATAATTTTATATATTGAAAATATAATATATATTCATCAAAATAATTGAAAACTAAAAAAAAAATAAAAAAAAAAGGAAAATTCTTTTTAACATCGAAATATATAATTATTACATAATAAATATATTTTTTTTTTTTGAACTAATAAGAATAGTTATAAAATAAGTATTAGCATAATATAAAAATCAGATGATTAAGAACATTTAAAATATGATATATATTATATATATATAATACTTTTGTACTGGTGAATAAATTTTTTACTCTTTGCTTACAAAAAAAAAAAAAAAAATTAAAGTATAATAAAATACTTGTAATTACTATAATTTCTTTTTAAAATTAAAAAAAAATTTTCGAATATTATAATTATATATATATTATATATATAATATATTCTCATATATATATATGTAAAAAATATTGATAATTTAAAATTGTTTTTTGTTAAATGGCATAATCATTAGATGAATTATGCCACGGGCAAAAATTTTGCTGTTAGCACCCCCCATGTGGAGAGTCTATAGCTCATCACAGTCAGCTGAGTGCAATGCTCTGCTCCGAACTACGTCAGGATAATGCTTGAGCTACCCCAAACGCCAGCCAGGTAAGTTGACTTTTAAAAACCTCGTTTTTTCATAGTGTTCCTTTTTCAATGCTGAAACTGTACTTGTTTTACTTCTATTTTATTTTTCTACATTATATAATATAATTAAAAATTTTTAATTAAAAATTAAAATATTATATTATATTATATATATATATATATATATATATATATATTTTTTATTTATATTCTTATATATTTATATATTCATATGTCATTTTAAAAATATGTATATGTTCTTCTATTTACATATTTTTACTTCATATAATATAATATGCAATAGGTATAATAATAATAATTATTTATTTTACTTACAGTATTATATAATATATAAATATTATAATTATTATAAATATATCTAATTTTTTTTTCTTTCTTAACAATTATATTTTATTTTATGAATTATTCATTATTCATTAATTTCATAATTTATCCTTATCCAAAAGTAAAATTGTCACAAAACTAATTTATATATAAATTTCATATAATTATATATGAACTTTTTCAGAAAATAATAAAGAATATCATTCAAAGTATTCTATTTTATAATATTATGATTATTTTCCTTATCGTTACTTCTGTTTTTTTTTTTTTTTTTTTTTGTAGTTATTAATATTCTTTAATTTTTTCCATTTTTTATATATACAGTATGAATAAAAAGCATAATGCTTTGAACTTTTGTATTTGATTCTATATTTGTATGTTATAAATTTATACATTCATTCGTTTAATTATTTTTTTTTTTTGTTTTTTTTTTTTTTTTATTGAAAGAACATTTTTATTATGTTTTAATACTTTTTTCTGTACACACTTGATTTACTATAATATATACATATATATATATATATATATATTTTTTTTTTTTTTGCTTTTATATTTTGTGAAAACGTGTAGAGATGCATTATGAATGAAAGCGTAGAAGAACTTTTTGATGAACTTATTTCTGATTTTAATAAGAATGATAAAATTGGTGTAAGAAATGAAAGTTTTAATATAAGAGAAAAGGGTGGAAATAAATGGACAAATGAAGATATATTGAATAATATAAATAAAAATGATTTTTCCAAATATACGGAATATTCATTAAGTAGTTTATATATGACTGATGAAAGAATACGTATTGATGAAGATAATAAATTTCAAGATTTTATAAATGTCATAACCAAAGCATCGGATGTAAATAATAAATATAAATGGATCGATTCATATTACAAATATGATTCCAAAGAAGAATTAGATATATTATCACCAAAAGCACAAAAAAAGGAATATATATTTAGAGAATATTTAGAACCTTTTCATTTAAAAGAATTATGTTTATTAAGAAAATATGAACAAGGTGCAATTTTAAAAAGTTCTGAAAAATGTAAAGTTGATGTTAATATTGTTTCCGAATATATTGTTCATAATACTTATAAACAAATAATGAAATCTTTTGGTTATTATTTGAGTCATAAAATTTATATCCAAGCTCATATCTTTCATAATAAATATGGTAATAGTGATCATATAATCATTTTAATCTTACGACATTTTAAAGATGAAAATTTCAAACAACCTTTATTTCATGATAGAGCACTTGTTCAGATTAAATCGTATTCAAATGATAATAAATATTCAGAATTAACTCAGAAAAATCTTTTACATTACGCAGAAATTTTTAAGCCTTTTATTTCATTAAGAAAAGTCAACTACAATTTTGTTGAAGAAATAAAGGATAAAATTATGTTCGGTATATAATTGGTAATTTATACATATATATATATATATTACAAATTAAAAAAAAAACAATATAAAAATTCTTTTTTTTTTTTTTTTTTTTTTTAACATCCATCTAACTTATATGTTTCCTTTTCAAAATCATTTGTTTGTTCATTTTGTGTAACATTTTCCAACGGCATGGTATTTATTTCAATACTAACATTCTTCTGGTAATTATGTGATCTTTTGCTAATTTCTTTTTCCTCGTTCTCCTCTTCTGAACTTTCGAATTCTTTGCATATATCAAAAATTGATCTAGTAAAAAAAAATAAGTAAGAAGAAATAAAATTATATTCAATAGGTATATAATATTATACGGTATATATATATATATATATATATATTTCATTCATTTTGTACGTAAGTTCTTCTTCTTTATTCCAAAATTTATATGAGTTATCTATCTCTGACATAGTCGTATCAGAAAAAAGTTCTGAATTTTCGTACATACTAATTTCTGCCAATGCATTACTTTTTTGTTCAACCTCTTTTATGATCTGATCTTTTTGAATATTCATTATATTAAATATTTATATATAAATATAAATGTATATATATATATATATATTATAACTTTTATTTTTTTTTTATTTTATTATATTTTTTTTTTAAACTTATCATTCATAACTTCACAAGATTGCTTATTCAAGATAAGAGGTATTACATGTAAATCAAATAATAATTTCTTTAATATATAAAGAATATATTAATAGGGGAATATATATTCATTTATATAAATATTCATATTTATAAGCACACATATTGCCGAAAAAATAATTCTATTAAATAAATGTTATACTTTTTATTTATATATTTGAATAAGTGTCTAAGATACAAATATTTTAAATTTATATTTAAGAAATACTCATATAGTTCTTGTCTATTTTTTATCATTAACATAAAAAAATATTTATAAATTAATTTTTATTATTAAATTAGTAAGTACATAGTATTATAACATAGAAAATAAATAAATTATAAAAAATAAATAAAATAGAAAAGAAAAGAAACAAAATATATTATTTGTTATCTATATTACATGTAATATAATATGACAGTGTATTTATATAATTATATAATTATCTCATATTTAAAAAAAAAAAAAAAAAAAAAGTTGATTGCCCCCAAATAATGTATATAATTTAAATATATTATTATATCAAATATACATATACATATATATATATATATATATATATATATATTATTAGTGTATGTATTATTTATTTTCCATATTTAACTGTGGTTCCTTAACTTCGTTTACAAACTCCTCTGCTTTCTCCGTGGGTTTAGGCACATTATTTATTACATTGGATTTTTTTTCAGCTTCATTCTCTGTTGAAATATTCTTTTTCAAAAGTTCCATTTCCTTATTAATATTCTCAATATTATCATTTAATACTTGTATACTTTTTGTTAGAGCTTCGAAAAGTATTTTAAAATCTTTAATATCTAGACTAAAAGTATGTATGATTTTTTGCATTTCTGAAACATTATTTGCAGTATCTTCTGATTCATTTTTGACATCAAGCACGTAGTTAGAAAATCTCTTGATTTCATTTCTCATGGTCATAATAGATACATTGGTACATAGAGGGGCAAATCTACAGACATTAGATGTAGGGTCATTGTTAGCATTTTTTCCTCCGAATAAAAAAAAAGCTTTAGTTTGTGAATGTAAATTTAAAGTACCATAATCATAACAATTATGTATTTGTTTGGAAGCTATTTGACAATTAAACCAACAATTTGAAGGTATATCATATACATATAAATCTGGTATAGAATAATTAGAAAACCACCCTGAACATAAACCACCAGATATCCACATATTTTTATCAAAAATGACAGCTCCATGTTTCCATCTAGGACAAGGAGCTTCACCTGAAGAATTTTTCATTAAAAACCAATTTTCTTTTTTAAAATTATAAACCCATAATTCATCTGTTGGAGAGCCTTTATTAGTTAAATCACCACCAAATAAATATAAAAAGCTATAATGAATATTTTCTTTAGTAGTTCTATCTAACCAAACAATAGTTGAATAAACTCTACCTGATGGACATATTCCTTTATGTTTAAGTTCACTCCATTCACCATTATTAAAATTATGACCACTATTTAATAATTCATTATTTCGATTTACACCCCCCCAAATAACAGTAGCATAACTATTAGGACAATATGTATATGCATGACCATACCTTGTACCTGGAGATGAATCTAATTTAAATGTATATTTTGACCACATATCTTCCATAAAATCATACATATAACAATCTTTTGCTAATATATTTGGCCCACATAATCCACCAAATAATAATAAAGATGGACTATTATTATTAATATTATATGTTAAGGTCATAGATGCATATGCTCTTTTCCCTGGATTCATACTTAACTTTTTTGAAGTAAATGTATTAGTTCCATATGTAAATGTTATAAATTCATCTAAGTATTCATTTTTAGAATTTATTCCACCATAAATGAAAAATTCATTTTCATATTCTACCATTGAGTGTCCATATGTTTTAGTAAATATTTTATTATCATGATAAATATGAGATAAAAAAAATTCAGGTGGAGACATTACACAATCAGCAACTTTAGCATTCACACTTGTATTATGTTTTACTTCTTTTAATTTAGAATTACTAAACGAATGCTTAAATGTTTTCGATTCCTTTATATTCAACATATTATCATCTTCTAAACCTTTTTGTGTTGTCAAAGTTTTTTTATATGTTCCAGAGGTTTGTGCATTTAATTTCTCATTCTCGTTTACTATATCAACACTCTTTAAGCTATTGTTCTTACTCATTGACTCCAAATTTTCTTCAATCCTTTTCTTAGAAACATTTATATTTTTTGACTTTTTCGTAAGTGCTTCTGCTTTCTTTTCCTCTTCCGAAAACTCTTCCGTTTCAGAGAAGTCCGAGATATCTGACATTTTTTTTATTTTTTAATTATATACAATTTGTTATAAATCCGATAACCTTGCAAAACAACGTTTGATCATTTTATAAAAATTGCACAAAGACAAGTAAATATATAAATAAATAAAAATATATATATATATATATATCAAAGTCTTTATATTTGTATTTATAAATAATATCGCTACAAAGTTTAAATTGTAATTATTAAAAAAATAAAATGGTATAATTTCAAATAAAATAAAAACATGCACACTTTAATTTTTTTTAAGGTTATGAAAAAACAAATTTAAAAATAAAAAAGAAAAAGA